GCACCACGAAGCTCTCCTAGCCTTTGGAAGCAGATAGGGATGCGTTTGATGCACATTGTAACGCGATTATATATGCAGGCAATTTTAATTATCAAAGTTTCACTTTTTTGCAATGTTGAACTTTCAAGTGCCACTTTTTTGACGAGGAGGGTTATTCTTTCGCAAGTCTGCCAAGTTTGTCCTACTGAATTTAGGATTGTATACTGAATAGTCCATGCTAGGTAGCAATATATTACTCACGTTGGACGAGTCAAGCTAAAACTTTGGTGTATTTTATGTTATCATTGCATTGTTATTAGTATTTTCCACGATAAACGCTAAATTGATAAACAAATCTTATTTCAGAGGTGGGATTTTAAGTGCAGGTTAATTACCTACTCAGTATGTTAAAGTAGCAATTATTTTGGCGCCTCACTGTCACTTGCTTAGGGCACCTTCGAAGCGAGATCAATGGGCACGGTCTCGGTCTTGGGCTTCGTCATTTGGTTTTCCATAGAATTTCATGGTGGTGATGTGCTCCCTGCCTCATCCCATAAGGCGTACGTCCAGATCATGGTCATTCGGTCCACTTCAAATTAGGCAACAACTTAAATTTACATGAGAACAATCATGTCAAAATGCCATTCGACATGCCAGATTCCCCCATTTTCATTTTAAAAGATAAGATGCCTCCTCCACTTCCATGAATTCGCCGCCAAAAATACTGTCTAGCGATGACACTACACTGCAACACGAAACATTACGCGACACGTACCGGTGATCGATTCACAGACGTGTCAGGTGATGCGAAGAATTGATTTACACATCCGACTGCCAGACATGCTGAACTACACGTTCCAGTGCCCTCTACTACTTCTCGCACTTCTGCGCATTGTCATCATTCCCACCATCCAATTAATCTTCAACGCCGCCTTGCAGCTTCGTTTCGTCCTCGCCATCGGTCTACTTTTAACCCTCTACTTCCATCGCCTTTCTCTCCCTCTCCATTTCCCAGTCAATCCCAACCGCCCAACACACCATTCTAGAGCCGTCAGAAGATCTAAA